GGGTGGCTCAGTCAGTTAAGCATCTGACTTCGGCTCAGGTCATGATCTTGCAGTTTGTGAGTTCGAGCCCCATGTCGGGCTCTGTGCTGACAGCTCAGAGCCTGGAGCCTGTTTCTGATCCTGTGTCTCCCCCTCTCTCTGTCCCTCTCATGCTCATGCTCTGTCTCTCTCTGTCTCTCAATAATAAACATTTAAAAAATTTTTAAATAAACATTTCAAAAAGATAAATAAATGAAAACAAGCTAAAAGTGCCTCTATTAAAATATGAGCATTAATAATAATGATCTGAATACTCATCATGGAATGTGAACTTGCTCTATTGCCATGGATTAGAGTCTAAGAAATCACCACCTCAGTAAATAAATTAACATTTACCAAATGCCCCCAGGATGCATACCCCTTTATTAACAAATTTAAAGCTTTATAAGTTTAGTGAGAGAGCTTCCCATTTCTTTTTTTCCTGGAAAAATCTCTTTAGATCCTTCTTGCTCTTGGAGAGGCAGGTATGTCTCTGTAATTATATATACGTAATATATATAATATATATATATATACACCCACATATACATATGTATACATATACATATTATATATATACACACATATGTATATATACATATATATAATTAGCTCCTTTATATTACCAATACATCATGGAGACACAGATTTACATTATATATAAGCTCACTATTAGTTTCCTGAGTTAGGTGTATCTATTCTGATATAACTACTAAAAAATGCATGAAATATGCATAAATCCTGTCTAACGACTCAAGTTAAATATACCTCAAAGAATGTTCTATCTTATTAAAATTTGCATACATTTTTCTTACAAGGGAGTTATTATTCTACATTGTAGCATGTGTTTTATTACAAACTTGGAGTTCATTGACGAATACAGTGATGGAGTTGCAAATCAAGTCAACAGCTTAATGAGCTCAGCAGGATGTTAGGAAGCTCTTCTCCCTCTCTAGGCAGAAGCTCAGTTAGGTTAGGACCTTGAGCTGAGTTCCAGGCACCCTGGGCTCTCCCTGTGGAAAAGATCCTTACCTCTTCTCCCCTCCATTGTAGTCAGAGTTCACCTGGCCTCTATTTGCTGATTATTGAGGTCTGCCATCAGCAGTTGGCACATTAACAGCTATGTTGTTTTATGTTACATTTTATGTTCTCATCTGCTGTCCCACTACATCCCACCATACATACCCCTCAACATGAATTCATTGTTTGATCATTGTTTTGTGAGGGGGCCTGTAAATGTCTTCACATATTTGAAAAACTATGATTATTGCTCAGTGGTATGAAACCTTACATAACTAAATAAATAGTTGTTGATTGATCATGTAGATAATCAAGAGCTTAAATAATATTAAAAAAAGCAGCCTAATGTTGTACTATAGTTTTATCTACCAAAATAATTCATTTCAGTTAACTTTGTTTTAAAACAAGCTAGGGGTGCTTGGAGGCTCAGTTGGTTAAGCATCTGACTTGGCTCAGGTGTGATCTCTCACAGTTTGTGGGTTCTAGTCCCTGTCGTGCTCACTGCTGACAGTCTTGAACTACTTCTGATCCCCCCCCCTCTCTGCTCCTCCCCAACTCGTGCCCTCTCTCTCTCTCAGTAAAAAAATAAACAAACATTTCAGGAAGCCTGGGTAGCTCAGTCAGTTAAGCATCTGACCCCGGCTCAGGTCATGATCACACACCCCAGTTTGTGAGTTGAGCCCCATGTGGGGCTCTGTGCTGACAGCACAGAGCCTGAACCTGTTTCTGATCTATTCTGTCTCCCCCCTCTCTCTGTCCCTCTCATCATGCTCTGTCTTCTCTCTGTCTCTCAATATAATAAACTTATTTAAAAATTTTTAAATAAACAAGATAAATAAATGAAAACAAGCTAAAAGATGCCTCTATTAAAATAGGCATTAATAATAATAATGATCTGAATACTCATCATGGAATGTGAACTTTATATTGCCATGGATTAGAGTCTAAAAAGAAATCACCACCTCAGTAAATAAATTAACATTTACAAATGCCCCCCAGGATTGCATACCTTTGATGATTTAAAGCTTTATAAGTTTAGTGGAAGGCTTCCCATTTCTTTTTTTCCTGGAAAAGAATCTCTTTGATCCTTCTTGCTCTTGGGCCATGTCTCTGTAATTATATATCGTCAATATATAAACAACAAACATCCTCAACACACATACATATACATGTATGTATGCATATACATATTATATATATACTTTACACATATGTATATATACATATATATATAGTAAACTCCTTTATATTACCAATACATCATGGAGCTACAGTTTACATTATATATATTTCACTATTCCACTAGTTAGGTGTATCTATTCTGATATAACTTTAAAAAACACGCTAAAATATGCATAAATCATCCTAACGACTCAAGAGTTAAATATACCTCCAAAGTGTTCTATCTTATTAAAAAAAAATTTGCTTGTTTTTCTTACAAGGGAGTTATTATTCTACATTGTAGCATGTGTTTTATTACAAACTTGGGTTCATTGTGAATATGGTGATGGAGTTGCAAATCAAGTCAACAACAATGAGCTCCAGCAGGATGTTGGAAGCTCTTCTCCTCTCAGGCAGAAGCTCAGTTAGGTTAGGACCTTGAGCTGAGTTCCCACTTCGTCTCCTGTGGAAAGATCCTTACCTCAGGCCTCACCCTAGGGGAGGTGCTGTCTGCAGTACTCAGAGTGCTTGGAGTCTCAGTGA